TAAGAGTAGGAAAAGAAAATCAAGAGATCTAGAACAAGTAAGGTGTATAAAGAATGAAGAGGGAAGAATTTTAGTTATAGATGATGAAATTAAAAATAGATGGGAGACTTACTTTTTCAAACTTTTCAACGATGGAGAGGTTCATTTAGTAACTTGGAGGATTTAGTAACCAATGAAGAAGAACAAAATTTGTTATTCTACAAATAATACATGACAAGGAGGTAAAGGAAGCTCTTAAGAAAATGACAAATGGTATAATCAACAGTCCTGATTATATATCTATTGAAGTGTGAAAATGTTTAAGTGAAGAAGGGGTAAGATGGTTAAATAAGTTATTTAATGTGATTTTATAGTCCAAGAAAATGCTGACGAGTAGAGAATTACATTAATTCCTATTTATAAAAATAAATGAGATATTCAAAATTGTACTAACTATAAAGGAATTAAACTCATGAGCCATACAATGAAATTGTGGGATAAAGTAATTGAGCACAGGTTGAGATTGGAGACAAGTATTTTTGAGAATCCTTTTGGTTTTATGCCAGGTAGATCAACTACAAAGGCGATTTATCTACTAAGGGGATTAATGACAAAGTATCATTGTAAAGATAAAGATTTACATATAGTTTTTATTGATTTGGAAAAAGCTTATTACCGTATACTAAGAAAAGTGCTTTAGAAAGCCTTGGAAAAGAAGGGAGTACGAATTACTTATATTAAAGTCATACAAGATATGTATGAGGGGTAAAAACTAGTACAAGAACATCTAGTGGTTAAACAAAGGACTTTCCTATAAAGATTGGACTACATTAGGGATTGTCTTTAAGTCCTTATATGTTTAACTTGATCCTAAATGTTTTGACGAAACATATTCAAGGGAAAATTCCCAAATGTATGCTCTTCGCGGATAATATAGTTCTTATAACAGATACAAGAGAAGAGGTTAATTGTAAACTTGAGTTATGGAGGAGGACATTGGAGTCGAAAGGTTTTCGTCTAAGTAGGAGTAAGACGAAATATTTATATTGTAAATTTGGTGAGAGACTAGTCGACAATAATTTGGAAGTAAAATTGGGAGATCAAATTATACTTCAAGTGAAAAAGTTTAGATATTTGGAAGCCATTATTCAAAATGATAGCGAAATTAATGGGGATATTTCACATATGATTCAAGCTGAGTGGTTTAATTGGAGAAAAGCTAAAGGAGTTATTTGTGACCGTAAGGTGCCTAATAAACTTAAAAGAAAGTTTTATCGTATTGCTATCAGTCTGGCTATGTTATATAGTAGTAAATGTTGGGCTCTAATGGGACAGCAAAAGCATAAAGTTAGAGTAGTTGAGATGAGAATGTTATGATAGATGTGCAGACATACACGTAAAGATAAAATTCAAAATGAGCACGTATGTGAAAAAGTGAGGGTAGCACATATTGAGGAAAAAAATAATAGAAAATCATTTGAGATGGTTTGGAAATGTACAAAGAAGACCGCGAGAGGCATCCATGAGAAGAGTGGAACATATAACTTTGAGCCCTGTTAAGAGAGATTGAGGAAGGCCTAAGAGAACATTCTTAGAAGTTGTTAAATGTGATCTCTCAATTAATAATATTCCTAAAAGCTTAATAAATGATAGAGCACAATGGTATCTTGCAATCCATGTAGTCAACCCCACCTAGTGGGATAAAGGCTTGTTGTTGTAAATTCTTTTACAATCTTAATTATTTAAAATTTCAATTATTCCAACTTTTTTTTTTAAAATATAATATAATATAATATAATATTATGATTTCAAGATTTTAAGATAATATAATCTAATATTATTTGAAGATTTCAAGACTAATATCTAATATTAGAATTTGAAGATTTTAAAATAATATAATAACCAGGATATAATAATACGAAAGATAATAGTTAATATCGAAACTTGAAATAATAATAATAATAATAATAATATATAAAATATTAATATTGATCACAATAGAATTGAGATATTAAAGAAACTTTAGATATATGAGTCTATATAAAGGAAAGCAAAAGTAGAGTATATGATAGTTAGAGAGAGACCTGAGGAAACCGTGAAAGAAAGGATGATAGAGATTTAAGTAGATTGAAATTTATAGAGGTAAGTTCACCTTCTCTTAAACTTTGGACATACATGCTTTTACATTAATCAAGTATTTCATAAATTGATTCTTAAAGTTTGAGTCTAGAAACTTTAGAGGTCTGTACATAATCTCTCCTCTCATTGAATTGCAAATTTTTGTCTTCATGTAATTAAATATGGCGTGCGTGAGATGATTTCCTAGAGCTATTGCTTTATTCTTCTTCATCTTGAATCTTCACATAAGATTCATGCTTTACTCTTTAAAGTTCTCTTTTCTTTTTGAAGTTAATTAATTTATCATGAGTGATGATAAATTATCACAGTACATCATTAGAGATGTTTTATATTTTTTTGGATTGCTTGAGATTTTTAAAGTCCTTATAAATTTATAAATTAATTAATTTATTATCCTAGATACAACAATAAATTATCGCATGTACATAATTTTTAAATCATTAGTTGCATGAGACTTTCAAAGTCCTTGCAAATTTATAAATCAAATAACATATCCTATGTAGCGATAAATTATTGTGAACACATATTTTAAAATATTTTATCCTTATGTAAAAATAAAATATTTTCCTAAAAATAAATAAAATAAAATAAAATATTTTTTCAAAAGGTGAATGTACAGTAAGAAGCTTTCATAAAATCTTATTATAATATTTTCCCCAAGATTATCTCTCAGAATTTTTTCACAAATAAAGGAATACGATCTTTTCATAAATAAAAATTACAAACCAACAAAATTAATAATTAATATGATCCTTAAAAAATTTCTAACCAAGAGACATGCATTTTTACCATGAACTACATGAGCTTTGATCTCTCAAAATGATATGTAAGTTTTAGAATTTCATCCTAGGTCATGTCCAATTTATAAATAAATAAAATTTTTTCCTTTTAATTTTCTAACTTTTTTTATCTCTTTTTTTTATTAAGGACAATTAATATATTTTTAAGGCCATTGAAGTTTATATAGTTAATTTAAGGTAACCATTCACATGAATGTGTATTATAGGGTGTCTAACACCTTCTTTGCATACAATCAACTCCCTTACTTTTTTTTTTTATGTAAACCACATGTTAAAAATGTTTTCAAAATTACCTTTTAAAATTTTAGTGATGACTCCAAATATTTATTTTTTATTTGATTTTCCTTCTAAAGAAATTTCAGAACAGGCGCAACACTCTCCCTCCCTCATTTTTTATGGCTTTATATATTAATCTTCTTCTTCTACTTAAAAAAAAAAAAAAACAAGAAGAAGAAGAAGAAAGAATCACTCAACATCCTGTTCAGTATTCACATTCATGGACGTAATCTAATCCCAACTTTTTTAAAACTAATTACTTTTGCATTTAAGGAGATTTTAATTGCATTTTCCTATTGATTTTAATTGCATTTAAAACTAGAACTTTATCAGATCACAAAGCAACAAACGGAAACGAAAGAAAAGAAGAACAAAGAAGCAGCGCAACTAGTTTGCTGGGCATGAAAGATTTGGTATTTTGGAGACTATTGGGCTATAAAGCACCGATACTTCAAATTATCTCACATATTAATATTGGTATCATATTTGATATGAATACTTACTAATACTTCTTTTTTACATATCCATAAAGTATTGAAATAATACTAATATGTATTAGATTTTTAAATTGTTAATCGATACTTGAAAAATAAAAATTTTAAAAAAAATTAAATTTATTAAAACTTGCAATATTAAACTTTTTATTGCTAATATCATTTTTTGATTTTTCTTTTAAAGTCAAAAATTAGATTTTCGTTAAAAAAGTAAGTTTTGGATGTAATAAAAGAATAAATATTATATTTTTTTAATTATAAAAACATGAAAATGTAATCTTATGATAGTTAAGAAGGAGGAGATATTGATATTATATCTATTAATATGGATTAGGTGGTACGCAATTAGGTATAAATAGAACAAAATTACAATTAATAGTTATATTTTACTTGGTATTATTATAAAGGATTATATATGTTTGTTAATTTAAATATTTTCTAAATTAAAAGTATATTTTTAACTTTTTTAAGATATATATACACATATAAAAAACGTGTTGTATCTTATATTTTTAAAAATTAAAGTATCAATATATCGGATGTGTATTGTATCCAATACATGTATCAGTATTTGTGCAACCTAACTATTGGGAGCTTGAATTATTTAAGTAAGCCTCAAACATCTACCCTCCACCTTTCAAAAAAAATTTCTTTACACGTTTTTGGAGGGTTTGAAGCAGATTTCAAACTAAGGTTTGAAAGTTTATTTAAGCTTCTAAGGAAGGAAAATGAAGAAATAATGTTAATGTAACCATGTAATGGTGATTTTGAGGCAAATGTTTGTTTAATAGAAAGTAAAAGTTAGAGTAATTAATTGTAAGAGAAGATGTGAAATAGTTGAGTTTTGAGTATTGGGTAGTCAGTGAAATTTATAATAGTTATGGGCATTGATAAAAAACATAATGGTGTTGTAGATTGACATTTTTCATTGACTCTTTGAGTGAGAGGAAGGCTCAAAGAACCTGATTGCTGACGTTGATAGTTCAGCTAATATCAACAGGCTACTACTTGTGGAGGCAATTAAGGAAATTGAATTAAAAGTTTTTTCAAATATTCCAAACATCATCCAAGCATAGTTGCTGAACTCCTAGGTATCTTGAAAGGAATCAAACTTTGTTGGAATGCTAAACTCACCAAAATTCACTCCTACTCTGATTCTTTAAAAACTTTGTCGCTCATTCAACACAATTTTTGCAAAAATCACTCCCTTTGTGAGAATACGGACTCCTATCAAATAGCTGAACCATCTCAAAATTCTCCATGATAAATGATTCTCTTGTTATGTGCATTCCAAAATCATTCAAACGAGGCAGAGAGGAAACGGGACAAATATATCCTAACAAGGAAGGTGTAACAATCCGTTGTCACATTGATCTACAGAACTAACAAAGATAATCTTTTTCCATGGATTTTTCAGCAGCTGAAGTAAACTACATGTTAAGTTGCAAACTCTAACATGGATTATTCAATGAGGCTCAACAAAAATCTCCTCTCTGCAACCTTTGTATTGCAGATTCATCAGAATCAAAAGACAGGATTATCTTTATCATTTTGCCATCTTTGCAGTCAGTTCTCTGACCAGTTTGGCAGCCACCATGGCAGTCATTCCATCAACAGTATCACGTTGAGGATTGAACTCAACTACGTCTGCAGCAACGACGTCGCCTTTAAGACCGTGCAGAATGTTGAGAACATCGCGGAATGAAAGACCACCTGGTTCTATGTGAGACACTCCTGGAGCAAAGGCAGGATCAAGACAATCAACATCTATTGAAACATATACTCCTTTAACTCCTTCCCCTAATTTCTGCAAAGCACAAAAATGATAAAAATTCATATCCAAGATGTTGTATAGAAGCCATGGAATCATGAACTATGAAGACCATTTCTAAGGGGCAACAATAGTTAAGAACCTTGATATATAAGCACATAAATTTTATTAGCCAGTGGAGGTTTCAAAATATCACTAAATCACAACACTGTACTCTCAGCAAAAGGAAGACATCAGAATTAAAAAGTAGGGCTATTATAACAGAGATGAATTATCATCATCATCATTATTTCGGGTGATATGAAGCATTAAATGTTATTTACATTAGAGCTAGGGAATACTTTAGAAACGAAGTATACTAGCATGCTTTGTGCCCAGCTGATATAAGTCCTCTATTGGTGTACATAAAAGACGCAAGAAACATACAAGCCCAACGTTAGATCTTACAGACAAGTGAGTTATCCATGTCGAATAACTTTCACCTTCAGCGTTGTCAACATTTAATAATTGCAGTTTAAGTTTATTATCCTAGTATGCTGAGTTGTCAATTATATAGGGTATAATTATGTTGTGATGTCATTTAACCCTTAGGATTACAGCTGCAAGACACTTAATATTTGTAAGACTCTTCTATGAGAGAATGTATGATATGACCCAATCTTTACTTATCAGAGATTCTCCACCCTTTGGCTTTAGCTAAAACTGTTCGAGATTCTTGTCCAGTTATTGATAAAGATTTATTCTCATTTTTTATAACCCTACTAGTTCTAACACCAGATATATCCTTTAAGTATATAAAGGGAAACCTAATTTGCAATCATAGTTATATTTCAATCATGGATGTCTTCACATGAAAAAAGTATGCATAATGGATAACATATCAATATCTAAGAAGCTTCAAACCGTCCACACATGATAGATAGAGTAACAAAATAAATCATTTGTGCATAATGTGAAGGAGAATGACAATGTTAACAGAGAGGGGGGGCAATACCAAGTTTTCCAATAGGTCACGATCCCTAGAAAATGTACGCATTTCATACTGCTCCACCCCAAATCTTTTGCCTTGTTCACGCCCTTCAGTTGTTATTGATCTTATACCAACCTGCAATAGAAAAATACATTCACATGATATACAACAAATAAGGGATATGGCTGGGAAATATTGAAGCATTTAGTATCATCACGAAGAGAAAGCATATACAAAACATAAGATGAACATGCAGAAATGAGCACAGAGGAACATGTACCAATTTAGCAACCAAAAGAATCATGTGAAAAATGGTCTGAAGAATATAAAGAAATTTCCATTCAAATATCTATCAATTCTCACTATTCTGCAGGATTTTCTCAACACATTGAAATTACAGAATAATTATGATATGCTAGTTGAATCAAGACATAACTTTCAATAGAACCACCAATGTTTGCAACAGAGATTGTAATAGTTTTTATTAGGAGTTCAACTCAGAGAACTTAACCCCATTGCAGATGTGATATACATTATACATTGTTTCAGAAGATCAATAATGGTGGCGAACTCAATGGAGTCAGTCATAGTGATCCTATGATTGTGCAAGAAGAAATGATATGATATGAACATAAGTAAATGGTTTGGCCTAATGGTGGGCATTGAACTCCTTAATTTGTTTAATCAAATATTTAGGGCCAAGATGATTGTCTTCTTTTGACACCCTTACAAGATTGATTTTTGATCCCGATTGCATTTTAAATTCTAAAGAAGAATTCAACTAGTTCTATTGTGCCTAAATTTATCAGTGTGCTTCAAATCTTAAGTTAGCAACACAATACAAATGCTGAATGCTTAATTAGATGAAAGCAATACAGTATAATCATGGACAACAACCATGTGGTTGTGTTCAAAATGCCTTATCTCTAGAATATAAAAGCTACAAACATTGGAATTTAAAAATTGCCTGCAAAAGTCTCCGAGCATAGCCACCCTCCATGATTCGAGCAAATGAAGATGCATGTGAGTATTTGTTTCCTTCAAAGCAATGATAGATATCAGGATGTGCATCCAAATGAAGAAGATCGATTGGTCCTCCCAGCTTCTCAGAGACAGCTCTAACAACAGGAAATGATATGGAGTGATCACCACCTAAAACTAATGGACGTAATGGCTCCTGGAAGCATGTAGACATCATGAGATTTGAGATATATCTAATTCAAATAGGAAGATAACAGAAAGTCAAATGATAGTTCATACAATAGAATACTTGAAGCTTAAAAATCAAATTATTTCTCCAAATGCAATTCAAATTGAACTGGCTTTGGTGGAAACCAATCTTGTGCATGAAAAACAATGACCGCCCAACTTTTAGCCCCATCAGGTTACAGATGGATCCATTAAAACTCAAGTTAAAGCTATAACAAAGAAGGCACTATTCATGTAAAGTAAAATATATTCACTTAATAGTTTAAGATCTGAATCAAAATTCAAGACTTCTTGCTTAATCAGAAAAGGGCCTAGAAAGAGGCTATTTTCTATGAGCAATCTACCAAGCAACGTTGCGTTGTTAATCACTCTGTTTTTGCAATATATATATATATATATATCATTTTTAAAGTAAAGAACTCAATCTAATAGTGCACATCTGATCTAGTTGCTTCTGGACTCATGCAATCGAGCGATCAACATGTAGACTTAGCAGCAGAACAAGTAGAGGTGGCAGTTGTCCTCAATTTCGATCTCTGTTTCTAGCATGTGATCTATAATGAATACTCCAACACTACAAAGGATTAACAAGCTATCTATTACTATTAGATATAACTCTAGCAGGAACCAATACCAGAAAGGAAGAGCACTCAGATAAATTTTCCAAAAAATATATATAAAATATAAATAAATCATAATGTAATTAAAAGAGTGGAAATAAAATATTCAATTGAATCAAAACAAACATATTATGCATGTTATGGACAGTAAAATAAAAAAAAATCAAAATTCCAAAAGTAGTGTCATAATTTGAGGGAGACATTTGCAGAATGAAAGTTTACCTCTTCCATAACTAGCTTAACAGACTCACTAATGACATTCATCAATATGTCATCATCTACTCCACAATCTCGAATTTCTTGGACGGGGACATCACCAACATCAGTTAGCACTCGTGGGTCACGTAATTCCTTTCCTGCAAAATCAGCTCATGCCACTATAAGTTTGCATTAGTAGGACATTAAAAAATTAGGTCCCTGAATCATTCGTTCTGGCATCAATATGATGAACGAATGAATTACCATTTTCAATGAGTTCACAAAGCAAATTTTAGCATAAGCCGAACAGAAATTTTAGGGAAAACTGTTCGCTATTAGGTATAACGAAACCCATAGGCTTACCTTCTTCAGTTGTTGAGTTAGTGCTACCACACCAAATGGCCTCTCTAATGCGAGGAGGTGCAAATGCAGGACCCTGAAGGAATGATGAATTATGACCCAGAGGAACTCCAAGAAGGGAAGGGCATGCTTCTGCACCTCCTAAAGCACGCACAAGTTCTCCCTGAGGAAAAGGAAGTTTTAAATTGTCTCTTTCTTGCAATTTTTGTAACAAAATCACTCATAAAATATAAAATTTCTATAAAACAAAAGGCATGGGAGAAAAGTATAAGCAATGTCGATCCAAAAGGGAATAAAAGTGTTCTTAAATAAGATGATGACATGCCTTGAGCTTTGCTCTTTCACGAATAAGCGTTAGTGAAGCATCTATCACACGATTTTGGCCTTTCTCTAACAAATCAGTGGGAATGTTTGCAGCATTTAGCTTCTGCAGGTAATGGATTCCTCTTCTTGCTATGGTTGACATCTGTGTCATGAAAGCAAAACAACTCAATTAGTCTATGCGAGAGTTGTTTACATAGCTGACGAAAGAATCGGATGTTATGCTGGATCAAACAGGAAAAAGGGGGAAAATTAAATCCCATACTCAGCAATGTAATTAGTCCCGAGAAGCAGAGACCTTAACTTTTGCTGTATGATGAAAAGAAAAGAAGCAGAAAAACAAAAGTAAAATCATAAACAAATTGAGCACCCAAATAGATGATTGCACAAAACTTGAAAAATCATATAACAAGCGACCAGTGCTGGATTTCCCATATTTTCCTCAGCTTCCAAATAGATACAAAGAAGCAAAATGAGACAGTGCTAGAATCAGTGTACCTTGGAAACGCAAGAGGGCATTCGAAGAAGCTCACCAAGGAACAGAATCGAAACAGCAAAACGCCAAAATATCGTCCGAGTAGGAGATTTGGTAAAGCACTTGATTATGGAGGTGGGAAGGAACTGGATTATTTATCTATAATTACAAGAATTACCTAAAAAGGATTAAACAAACAGAACGAAGATTACAATCGGTTGTACGGGGAAGAGGTGATGACGATGACGGTTTGAGGTCTTATTAACAAATCCCGGAAGGACCGAACGCTTGCCTCCATGGATTTTGTTGCTAATTACAATAAAAAAATGCCCATTTGGACAGTTCTAAATCTAAGTTTTATTTTATTTCGTGCTCAATAAATCATTTATAAAATAAAAAAATTAATTACATTTAATTTATTATTACGCTTTTCTATTCATGTGAAGATAAAAGTAGGAGCATATTACATTGTAGATTAAATAATTTGTAATAATTGCAAAGCAACACTAGAATTTCTCTTTGGAATTCAAAATCACTTCTGCTACGTTGAGTATATTCAATTTAAAATTTAAAATATAAGCAATTTTTAATAATAATTTATATATTAATAAAATTATTATTTTTATAAAATATATATTCTTTTCCTTTTTTATTTTTAGTTTCAAGTATCTATGATAAGGGAAAAAATATTATAAATTTATATGAGAATTCACATTAATAAATATAATAGGTAAAATAAAAAAGTTACATATTTTGAATCAAAAATAGTTGAAAGAAAAGGTTTAATTACTTTACCAATCAAACTCATCGGTGGAAAAATAGAAACAGAGGAAAAAACCAGTGGTCAGGGGATGCACCAAATCGGAACTCGAAAAATGTACAGCCACCTCAGCATCACGCACCCGAATGCTGCCGTGCAAGGATTTCTTGGTGGGACATGTCATTGCACTTTATGTATATATATTTAAAAGAAAACACTAAGTACTAACCCTTGTTTTACCTGTAGCTCAAAGTTGATAGCCTATACTAAGTTCAAGAGGCGCAGATGGGTTAGATTGGGCCGGCTTTCATCCTAGCTGGATACCCGACTTTTTTGTGTATATTCGAATATCGGGCCATTCAAACACTGGGACCAAGTTTTGGTCGAATGCTTGATTTCTTTTTAAAAAATTAAATATAAAATAAATTTATTAAACAATACAAAATATAATTAAAATTATTTAAAATGGATTATTTATAAAAATAATTTTAGAATTTATAGTAATAATTTTTTAAATTGTATATAATTAACAATTATTTATTATTTTTACATGATATAGAGTACAAAATCAATTTTAAATATGTACATGATTAGAAAAATTGAAATTATAAAAGATATTCATAATGAACACAAAAAATAATATAATACATAAAAATATTAAAAAAATAACATGATAAAATAATTAAATTTTACAAAATTTTTAAAAATAAAATATGCAAATATTTAGGACAAAGTTGGAATTAACCCCAATCCAGGGGCTTATCCAAAGCCCAGCCTAATCAACTTGACTAGCTCAAACAAGATCAGCTTGATTGGGCTTTCAAGCCACAAGTGTAGCCTGTTTTCTATAAATTCTATTTCCATATTTTTCCACTGACGGGCCTCTTCTTTATGAATGTACTATGTCTTCTTTTCAAAGTAAAAAAAATACAGTATCACATACTTTCTTTATTTAAAAATATAAGATATTTTTAAAAAATTTAAATGTTTAAAAATATAAGATATTTTTAATCTTTTGAGGTGTAATCATTGTCTTTTTTTTTAAAGTGCCCCTATTGATAATGACTTTATATTTATTGTAGGATTTTTAATAGGAATAAATATAAAAAGATCGAGTTAATTAAAAAATATAACTACTTTATTGAAAGGTAAAATTCAGTTAAAAATGCCTTATATTTGTTAATAGAGGAAGTACAAAAGAGAATGTCACATTTCCTTTCACCGTGCTAAATTATAAAATATTTTTAAATAAAATTATATAAATATATATATCAATAAAATTTATTAAATAAATTTTATACTTTTATTTTTCAAAATAAAAATATAAATTTTTTTAGAAATGCCTTCCATTTAATTATCCATTTACAAAAAAAATATTAAAGGGAGAGAATACATGAGAAAGGTAATATTAAAAAAATATTAGAGAGAATTTCAATTAAGAACCATGGATCTGACTTAATTACTGGTGGGTCTCAAAAAATTTAAAAGCTCAATTCAGTCTAGGGGGATTGAAATGGAAATAATTTTAACAGTAAAAAGACCAAAGAACCCTTCATTTGTTATGCAGAATCATTAATTATTAATTTTTTTATTTAACTTATTAATTTATCAATATGAGTTATAAATTATATCAGTTTGTTAGACAAGTAGTAACATCAATTATTAATTTATTAACTTTAATTAATTTACTAACATCAGTTGTAATATAAAACTGATATTAATAAACTAATAAGTAAAGTTAGTAATTTAACAACTGATATTGTAGTTTGTGATTGAACAACTGATGTTAAATTTTTTATAATTATTGACATGTCAATTCATGTAATTTACAACTTATATTAGTAAATAAAAAAGTGAAGTAAGAAAATTAAAAATTAATGATTCTGCATAACATATGAAGGGTATTTTTGGTTATTTCATTTTTGAAATTATTTCCATTTTAACCCCTCAGGCTAAACTAAAGTTTTAAATTTTTGTGGGAACCAGTAGTAATTAAATCTCATCCACAGTCTTTAATTAAAATTCTCTCAAAATATTATTAATAAAATCTTATTTTTATCAAAGTGTCTTATATTATATGATGTTAAATATTCTTCAAAAGTATTTTTTAATTTAAAACAGAGTTAGTATTATTTATCCCTAATAGTGTTTGTTTTGGAGAACGAAGAAGAAGGGTATCTTTCATTTCTCATTCAAAATCATTTAAGTTTAGAATTTTGTATTATCATCATCTTTTGTAGTTTTTGTAATTCTATTAATTTTTTTGTCTTTACACTTTTAAATTTTTAAAATATATATTATTATTCATGATTTCCTATCTTACTGTCTCTATATGATATTATAAATAATTTCATCAATTTATTAACAATAAATAAAAGGATTAAAGTGAAATTTTAGCTTTAAATTAGAGGCCCAAATGTTTTTAGGACCCTAAACTCTTTTTGGTACAAAATTCTTTTTTTTTTTTGGTAAGAACACAAAATTCTCTTTAAATATTTGAAAACAATATATGTTGCCCCTACCATTAGAAAAAGTTAATCATAAAATTAAAAAAACATAAAAAATTACCAGAAAAAGGATTGAAAATATTACAAATAAATATTATATAAAAATTAATATTTTCTCTAAACTACAAATAAATACTAATAGAAAAAATTTATTTCTTTTACTTGTAAAAAACTAAAATTCAATTTTGACTAAGCACTTTGAGTGGCTACTGGGTGATTATCATATCACCATTATTGACATTAACACACGTTAGTAATTTAAAAATATATATTTTAGTAATATTTTTAAAATATTAATACTTTAATGTTTAAATATTATAATTATTATTTATGAATATTCCTCTAAAATTTATAAATCGTCTTTTAAAATTTAAGAACTCAACCAACGTATCTGAAATTTATAGATGAATTATTTTTACTAGCTCAACTATTATTGTTTGCAAAAAAAATTGCATTTACTTTTAAATCACAAATACACTAGTTAAGTTGTAATTTTTATAACAAGATAAGTTGCTATTTTCTCAGAAATTATAAATTTTAATGGTCAACTTGTAAATTGTATGTGAATATTTGTAAATAATAGTAAAATTTTAAAAAAACATAACTTTGGGTCCCTGTACTTTTCTCAATTTTTTCTATAGCTCTTTATTTTTTTCAGTATTTTTGGTCCCTGTATTTTTATTTTTTTATTATTTTATGTCCCTCCATGAACAAAGTATAAAAACCTTAAAGAGACCTAAAATAATAAAAAATAAAAGTATAAGGATCAAAAATATCAAAAAAAGAACAGTGACCAATAGTAAAAAGCAAGTAAAGTATTACTTAAAGTTATATTTTCCCTAAAATTTAAATTATTAATATTTTAATAATATATTATCAAAAAAATATAATATTTTTGTTAAAATGGTAACTAGTCAAAGTAGCTAGTTAAAATGGTATTTTGGTCTTTTACATGAGAAAGAAATATCATTTTCCTCTTGATAATTATTTGTAACCTTGAAAATTTAATTGGTATTAATTTTCTTGTAAGGTATTTATTTATAATTTTTTGATCATATCTATAATATTTGATGTAATTTCTAATTAATTGACTGTCAAAGTTAACATTTATTAATAGTAGAGGTGACAATATATTATTTTCAAATAGCAAAGGAAAACATGAAATCCAACAAGAGTTTGGGTCCTAAACGTTTTTTTCCTAAATGCTTTAAAACCGATAGTTTAAGAACAAAATTATTAACCTTGAATAAACAAGAATATGTTCATATATTGTTTTTCATAAACATTTTTCGCCCCACTACTTTTGCTTTTATTGCACCCTTAATTTTATAATCCTATTGTTTTGAAATGTAAGTTTTTTTTTTTTTTAACCATGAACTTCCTTTTGTAATAAAGTATTAGAAAGAAAAGGTTGGTCTCGTCTTAGGTTTCTTCACAGCCAAGGGTTTCTCCCTTCATCATGTAGACAATTGCTTCTCTGGGGGAGCTCCCCTTCATTAAGGGGTTCCTCTTCTTTAGCGGGAGGCATTTTCAAATGCCATTCTTTGGCGACCATTCGACGAGGAGGCATGGGTGTGCATATTTTGTAGCGTGGATTTGGGCGTGAATTGGAGGAGGTGAAGACTTAACAATGGTGATGAGAGGGTTCTAGATTTGAGTTTCATGAGGTTTGAAACAATTTCATAGGGTTGGTAGGACATTGGCATTCATCCAAAGGTTCTCTGGTCATGTAAGGTTGGTCAATGACCTTTAATGGATGCCTCCAAAACTATTGATGATGCAGAGAGTGTTGATTTTTGGACTAAGGAAGGATGAACGAAAGGAACTATGATTGTGATTTATGAAGAAGATGAACGACGAGTTGAGGATATTGAGTTATGGATTTGAGGCGCATTCAGCAGTAGGTAACAAAGAATCAAGGGTGGTTGGACTAGCAAAGGTAGAGAAGAGGTTCAGTGAATTTAGGAGATCCAGGTATAAGGAGCTGATAAGATATGCCTCTAAGTTTGTTGAGGAAC